AATAAAAAAAAAAAAAAAAAAAAAAAAACTGTAATGACCACTTACTTGTGGAATCTTAAAAGGACTCGCACAAGAAGGGAAAGGGATGCACAGAAGCCCACATATTATTTGTTTGCCATGATTTCATTGTCAAGCAGCAGGAACCTTCTTCCCATCTTCGATGAAGAAAATTGCAGTTTCTGGGACCTGTTACAAGAATGGATTAAGAGGCATGTATAATGCTCAAAGAACCTCTCTATCCCGGAGGGCATTCCCCTCTAAAAAATTTCAAATATGTGTTATGCCCACATATTTATGATTAGAAATAAATGACGAGAGGAGGGAAATTTGAAAGGGGAACGACAGTACAGTTAGCAAGGAATGAAGTATGCAATCAAACATTAGAAAACATCAAGCAACATTGACAACTTTCACTGTTATTTTTAATTTCACTGTTATTTATTGCTTGGTACATGATTGAAAAATCCAAAAAATACTAGGTTCAGAAAGTGAAGTTCAAGTCTAAGGTGGTGTTAGAAAAGAAGGCATCTATAGTAGAGCTATATGTATCACTAATGAAAGTGAAATTGAAGTCGAAGGTCGTGTTCAAATAGAAGGCATCTATAGTGGAACTATATGTATCACTAATGAAATGGCTAGTTAATTTCTTACCTAGTTGATATGTTCTAATTTTTCTCTAAACCATTAGCTGTTTCTAAATTCAAATTCAGTTTTTTGCTAAATAGTCTAAACTCCATAGTATCCTCATGACAATGCCAGACCCCAAAGAAACGGAAAAGACCAATAAAAGAAAATGATAGTTGAGGACTGGGGGAAAAGGCCAAATGGAAAATAACCAAGTTGAAGCCTACTTTATGGTTAAAAGACCAACATTAAAGCTCTATCTATTTAATCTACCACACTAGACCCAATCATAAATGTATGTACAATCTAATGAATTGGGTTTTAGCACTAAAAGAAGGTCTAAATTGCACCATTCCCATTAAAGAGGGGAAAATGAGCAACTCAAGTTCTTAGAACAAAAAGGATGGGCCTTCCACGGCACCAATATGATGTACTAATACTAATGTTCTAGAAGTATAGAGGAGCGCAGGATGAGTCAGCCCATCAAGAAAAGAGCTTCAGTTAAATGGGGTCATGCTTGTTATCATAGAAATGCTATACATGAGGCTAAAAATCTAATAACGCCCCAATTTGTCATATAGATCGGAAATTCGAGCATTAGCAGGATAGGAAAGGAATGATAGAAGAAAATAGAGGAGCTAACATCTAAAATTAGTTAAAAGTCACATAGATTTTTCTTAAAACAACTAAAATAGCACGTTTTGGAGTGATTTTTGAAATTATTAAAATCACTTTTTTCATGTGCAAATCACTTTGAAACATGGTTATAATCATCCAAAAACAATTTTTATTGTGAAAGTCGTGTTAAAAATGTAAAACCCAACATTAAATTGATTTTGGAGGATTAAAAGCATGTCTTGAGTTAATTTGAAACCTGACAAAAGTTATTTTAACCCTTTCAAAATTGATCCTATGCATGCACTAAATATAATGTCCCTAAATGTCAAGAGAACATAGTCAATACCGATAAGGAGAGGTACATGAATGAACCAAGACCACATCCGAGAGAGATTATGAGGATAGGATAGCTAAGAAAGGCTAAAAAGAATTGAGAGTCACTACCTATACCAACAAGGTACACCTTCTTTTTCAATGGCTCAATCATAGAAACTCCAAGGTTAAACGTGTTTCGCTTGGAGTAATTCTATATTTGGTGACCTCTTGGAAATTTTCCTAAGATGCATGTGAGTGAGAACAAAACATGCTGGAAGGACACGTGTTGGTCTGTGGGAATAGACTTCACTCTTAGAATAGGAGAATGTTGGGGTCATTACATGTCAAATCCTGATCTGAATCCTAGGGATGTGGTGTTATAGTCTAGCTAAAGAATTGGGCTTCAAGCAAGTAAAATGAGACCTAAAGAGTAATGACAAAAAGACTTCGTCATTGACACCTAAAGAGGAACATAAAACCTAACGAGGGACAAGACAACACAAGAGCCCCTCCTAACCCCTCTCAATTTCCTATTATTCCTCTCCTCCATCACATGCATAAGTATGTGTGACCATCCATGAAAATTTTGAGATTTATTTCTAAAAGTTTTCGTTAAAATTTATGAAATAAAAAATGTAGGTAGTGTACACCAAAACGGGTAGTAGATCATAAGAACATGGACAACTACAAATCAGAAAGCAGGGAGGAAAGAATTAAGTCAATAAATTTGACAGGATTATGAAAATAATAAAAGCACAGTTAAAGATTAAAACTTAAAGCTTAGACAAAGATTTTGTCCAATGCGATGAGAAAGTGTCATACTAGAGTCTTAAAGGACCAAACTGCTAATATTTATAGTCCCAATCCACTCAACCAATTCTTAAAGAGGGGTGAGGAAGGAGACTACCCATTCACAAACTGACACCAACTTCAAATGCTTAATTGATGCCAAGATCCAGCAAAATTTTAGAGAGAGAGAGAGAGGGTGGGAGAACAAGACAAGCATAACATCACAGTGGAGGATGGGCCTATTGAGAGATGGGAGTGTTATATCACAAAATTGTTACGATTTTAAAATCACTTGATAATGGAGAAATATAATGGAACACGTAGACCCTTAATAGAAAAACAAATAGTGCCAACCTTATTTATATCACCAGAAGTTGAAAGTGTCTAACGTTTATTAAAACTAACCAGATCCATTATAATTTATAAGCAGCGCATACTAGAAATCATCAACCCTATTCAAGTACAGTGATGTATTGAGTTCAGAGGAATGGGGGGCTGGTTTATTATTTTATCCCTAAAAAATTAATTGAACAGGTAGACCCTTTACAGAAAAACAAATAGTGCCAACCTTATTTATATCACCAGAAGTTGAAAGTGTCAACGTTATTAAAACTAACCAGATCCATTATAATTCATGAGCAGCTCATACTAGAAATAATCAACCTTATTCAAGTACAGTGATGTATTGTATTGAGTTCAGAGGAATGGGGGGCTGGTTTATTCTTTAATCCCTAAAAAATTAATAATGAATAAGTATCTTACATCACGCCAAGTCTCGGTGATGAAATCCACAATGTCATAAGATATGTCCCCTTGAACATCAATTTGCTCTTTCTCAGTTGGCCCCTAAAACCAAGCATTAAGCAGATGATAAGATATCAAGAAGCATCAACAGTAGAAAGATACTTGAGTCATGACACCAGAAGTGAATAACCTTAACCACAGAGGCCCCAGTAGCAAACTTCTTTCCAAGTTTCTTTGAAGCATCACTTAGTTTAACTCCTAATAACAGTTACAGACACTGTTATTGAAAATTAATGTAACAATAGAAATGTCAAGTAGGGATAGAAAACAAAGTATTGCTCACCAAAAAGGTCTAACCCTTTTACAGTTGTGATGCACTTTCTCTTATTGCGAGTAACCTTCTCAATAATAACTTCTTGTCTCTCCTACATGAACATCCAACTAATTAGATCCATCATGTTAACGTCTTATTGAAGAGTGACAACAGAACTGAGTTTAATAACTAAATTACTTTTTTCTTTATCTTGCCGCCAGGAAGACGTTTCACTTCCTCTTGCTTAGGCGCTGTATTTCTCCACCAAAAGAGAAAAGAGTGACTAGAGCTATAAGTCATAGGTTGAGACCAAACAAATATAAAATTATTATGGAGAAGCCAATGTCAGTTAAAATACCATACAGTCAGAAGATGTCAAATAACCAAATCAAATGTTACCTTGAGAATAGGGGTAAGTGAACCAATTGGCAAAAGGGGAAAAAATTAATGGGATTACTTGCAGTAATGTCTTTGAAATAGAAGAAATTTGACTAACTAGATAAAACCATATATTTTAGGATCAATTAACTATACATATACTCATCATAAATGTTCTATTTCCGACAATCTGCAAAGATCCAATATTAGAAACGCTAACTCTAAGTAGGTACACCAGGACAAGTCTATGAAAGGATCACAAAGTTAAGTCTGCTCAAGCTCAAACAATTGAATTGATCCCAAAAACTCTTTGGCAGACCAATTGTACATAACGACTTCCACAAAGTACCCGAAATGATAATCATTTTATTTCCATCTTTCCACACATAACAAAACCATGGAAAAGATAATTCAATGGCCAAGGTCTCAAACGTGCAAGATTACCGCCAAAACCCAACACTGCAGAGGAAATTGAGTGTCCACTACCCCTACTCATTTACAATGATAAATGGGGCTTCTTAGGTAACTAAATAGAATTAGCGAGGTGAAATTTCACGAAAAAAAATCAAAATCATAAAGCGAACATTAACATTGTGGTCGGTAGCTTTCAATATCTTCAAGTGAACCTAGCAGGTAATTACAACAAAACAAAAACAAAAATAACTATGCACATATAGATGCAAACACGCGCGCGCACATAAATAAAATTGAAAAGTTAACCTGAAGAAGTAGCTCCATCACCAGCAGCAGATGAGATACTGGTCGATTGCAGTTGATTAGAAACTTCACCAGCTTCCTTCGCATTGGCCTCTATAGACAAATAAACAGACAAAGAAATATTAGTTAATAAAATCGGATTTGGAGTAACACTTGCGATTAGGGTTTGGGAGTGCGAAGGACCTTTGAGAAGATCGGGATAGAGGTCGGGAGCATTTTGGATCAACCAGGGCTTGCATTTTTCGAAATCAGGTCCGAATTCGCAATACTCCGCCGGCAAACTGCAGACCGGACAGTACAAAACGCGCACCGGCTGGGGTTTGTCCGCCATTAGAGCTCCTCAAGCACAGTCTCTCCGCCCCCTTTTTGGTGCGAAAGACAATTAGTTTCCTCTCTCTTTTGCTTTGTAGCCTAAGAATGAGATTCGAGAGGCGATGAACGGTGAATGTATTGCGTTGGAATGTTATTTTCTATTTAATTTTAAATTTTTTTTATTATTAAAAAAAAACAAATATTTTTTTTTTATGACAAAAAAAAAATTTAATTTCCAATCTTTTTATTAAATTTTTAAAAACACTTCTAAAAATTAGATTAGGTTAAAATAATTTCTTTTGCAATTTTTTGTTTTTTAAATTAAATTCTAAAAAATAATAACTAGTTTTAAAGCACATAACAAACAAGTTTTAAAAAAATAATTTTAAAAAATTGTAAATTTTATATTTTGTATTTACAAGCTCTTTAAATTTGAAAGGTTTCTAACAAATTTTTTAAAATTTTAATTTAATTTTATTATTTTAGCATTTTCAAATATTCGTGTCCAAAACTTAAAATTTTAAGTTTATTTAGACAACAAAATTAAATACAAAATATCTAAAATAGAACAAATAATTTCACATAAATTGAAAAGTTTTTAGTCTAATAATTATATAATTAAAACTATAAAATTTCATAATATATATATATATAAGGAGATATAAGGGAGACTTTTATCATCCAATTTTGCTGCTTTATTTTTAAATTTATTTATTATATAATTGTTTTTTAGTTTTATTTTCTAATAATAAATCAAAGGATGAAAATTGTAAATTATTTGTTTCCATAAGTTTTTTATATAATTAATATTTATAAATTATTGTGTTTGCTTCAATTTCGTTCATTATCCAAAATATAAAAAGAAAAAATAAAATAACGTTTTTTTAAAGTTTACCAATTAAAAATTTTAAAATAATTGAGATAAAGTTGATAACACCCTACAGTTTAAGGGCTACCTGCCCATATAATAACTAGCCACGTCATATAGACACGTAGGTAGGAAATGCACTGCCATTTTGACACGTAAGATTCTCAGTCGCGGCAAAAAGAAAAATATATAAATATATATTATAAAACAAACTAAAAAAATCATTTATTAAATAATTTTTTGAAGTCAAAGGTTAGAGATAACTTTATAAATTATTAAAAAAATACTCTTAAACATGTCAACAATAATTAAACTTTTAAAAAACTTTAAAATTGTTCTTAAATTTTAAATATCTTTACAGTAAATTTAATATATTTTTTAAATAGACGTAAAATTTTATTAATATTCTTAAATTTAAAAAAAAAATTATTAATATTCTAACTTAAAAAAACACATTTTTAAATTTTTTTTAAATGTAAAAATACTTTTAAATATTTTTTAAATCAATAGTTAATTTAAATGAGGACGAATTTATTGAGTGTTCGTGTTTATTTATGGCATGAAACAATTCAAAGCATAGGTCTAGCTTATTGATACGTTCTCCGAAAGCCCCCTTGAATCCATTTGATATATATATATATATATTTTTTTTTTTCGAACATGGGTTTTTTTAGTCCAAGTGTATCTTGTTTTTACTACGAATTATTTTCCTTTATAAACAACAGTTGTAGTTTTTCCAATATTTACGGGTTTATTACTTTTCCTTTTCCCTCGTAGAGGAAATAAAGTAACGAGATGGTATACGATATGTATCTATATGTGTACTCGAGCTCCTTCAAACAACCTATGCATTTTGTTATCATTTGGAATTAGACGATCCATTAATCCAACTGACAGAGGATTATAAATGCCCTTATTTTGGATTTTCACTGGAGATTGGGAATCGGTGGACTTTCCATAGGACTCATTTTACTGACGAAGTTTATCACCACTTTAGCTACTTTAGCTCGGTGGACTTTCCATAGGACCCATTTTACCGATGAAGTTTATCACCACTTTAGCTACTTTAGCGGCTTGGGCCACGAGTGTTAGACGTAATAAATTGATCAACATCGACATTAATTTAAATCAGTCGCAAGACATATAATTTTAATCGTGGGTCCTTAAATTAATTCAAGCATAACAAAACAAATAAGGAAGAAAAAAAAAAAACAATAACGTCCCACAACATGAATCGAATTTGAATGAACACAGTGGGTGTGTCTTTTTAAAAGCACCTTTGTTTTATTTTTGCCCAGTGGTCATTAACATGCATGGGAAGTCCACTTTTCGCATTTTTTTATTTTTAAAATTTAAAATTAAATTAATAAAAATAATTTAAACTTTATATATATATATATATTAATTTCAAATGTTTAAATAATACTCCTAACTTAAAAATATATATTTTTATTGAACAGTTAAATATTTTATTTCAAATATATATTTAAACTCCACGTACTAATAATTTAATTTAATGAATATTTAGAGATGAATTAATTTCAGATTTTTTTTTTCTTATTTAAACTAAAATTTTATCGACATACGAAAAAAAGATAATAATGTTAAAATAAGATAAGAGGAGGAGAAAATCAAAGAAATTATAAAATTTTAATTTACTTTAGAATATTGACGCAATAATTAATTATCTTATTTAAGTTATATTTCGTCACATCAACCTTAATAGTATCATGCATATTTTTAAAAATTATCTTAAAAAATAAACATGATAAAGAAAAAGAGCTCTTTCACTTGATTAATAAAAACAAATATTTAGTAATAAATAATTAATCAGACTTTTAAAAAGAAAATAAATTAGATCGTCAAAAAAATGACGAATATACATAAGAAACGTGGAATATGAGGTGGCATATATTATTTAAAAAAATATCAATTTTTTTAATTTTACATTGTGATTGGACCAACTAGATTTAAATAAATTGAAGGAAAATCCAAAAAAAAAAAAAAAACCTATAATTTAATTTTCATTTACATTATCCCGATTTAAGTTTATAAATATTATTTTTAACCATATTTTCTAAATTTAGTTTAAATATTGAAAATTTTAAATAATTTACATTAAAAAAAAACATTGGAATTTCGCAAAAAAAAAATATATTTTTGAAAAAGGTTAAACATTTTCTTTATACATCAATGAAAAAAAAAAAAAAAAAAAAAAAAAAAAACTTTAAAGTCACTTCCCGTGGGTGGGGTCAACGCATCGTGTCCATGTGGAGTCCTACTCATACTTTAGCTTTAAAGGAAGACCTCAAATTAATATATCTTTATTGGATTATACTTCAATGAATGACTCATCCCCTTATTTATTTATTTATTTATTTATTTATCTTTATATTATTAAATATTAATTTAAGTAAACGAACTAAAAAAATTAATTATAACTTAAAAGAATATAATTAATTAATTAATATTTTTGAAAGTGACCTATCAACTTATTTAATTTATTATAAAGATATATAATGGTGAGATAGTTTTCCTTCTAAGGAAATTTAAAGGCTTCGATTCAAAATTAAATTAAGTCAAAATATTAAATTTCATCATAATTTTGAAATATACCCACGTGGCATCCATTTTTTATATAAAAACTTAGTAAAAAAAATAATTTTGAGAGAATATATTGAGACTATGTTTGAATAATTGAAAATATAAAAACAAAAATGGTATTTTAATAAATATATATATATATATATATATATATATATATATATATTTAAATTAAAAATAATGTGAAATGTCATGATTTATCTTTTATCTTATTATTAATATGAATATATAATAAATTGATGGAAATATTATTAATGGGTAATTTTGGGGGGAGGAAGATTGAAACTGTAAGGCCATAATTTCAATAATTTTCGTCTAAAAAACAGAGATTATTCATTCAACAGAGCTTATGTCCGCCATTAATGGCGGATATGTTCCATACAAACGGAAAAGCTACTAAACCGGAGATTGTAGGCGAAAGGAAGAAGACAAAGGAGGACCCTTTTTTTATTTTTCGCCCTTCACCATGTCTCTGTAACGCAGCAGAGATTCCAGCCTCTGCAACTTCAGCTGCTGTTTGAATTTGTTGATGAAATCGTCAGCTCTAACATCCACCTCCTTGTCGTCGTCGTCGCCGCCGCCTTCCTGCGTTTCTGGTTCTCCAATCTCCGCTCTCGCCGTCGCCGGACGCCGCCGTTCGATTTCGCTGACTAATTCCCCTGTTTCGCTCTGTGCCGTTGTGAACGACGCCCACGGTAGTTTCTCGCTCAGCGATTTCTGCAACCGCCGCCGTAAGCTTGTCGCTGGAGTTTGGGTTTGGGTTTCGGATTTGCTCCGACTGATGGAATGGTCTTGATGGGTCTTCTCTGGACTCTGTTCTGCCGCTGGCGGTTCAATTTCCGGTTCACGAACTGAGTCGGATCTGTTGAGGGTTATGGATTTGAGCCGCTCCAACATCGACGGACCCGGACCCGGAACCGGGTCCGGATTGTGGTCGTTGTTGTAGGGGGAGAAGTTGAAGGACCGGACTCTTTCTAGGAAAGAAGGGGGGCGGAGGAGGACAGGGCCGCCGTGGAGATGGTGGGATTTGTCGGCGGTGAAACGGGAGGTGATGGCGATGGTGGCGATGACGGCGTTGACGAGGATGAAAAGGGAGGAGGGAGTAAACCAAGTGGTTATGGAAGTCCACATGCCGGTAAAGCGGTGGCGGCAACGACGGCGCTGGAGAGTTGACGGTGGAGTTGGGAAAGAATTGGAGAGCCTCTTAAAATTTGTAGTATGGAAAATAAACTTGGTCGGTTGGATTTAATGGACATTAATAAATAAATAAATAAATAAATAAATAAATAAATAGATATATATATATATATATATATATATATATATTTGCATATTTAATTTCAAGAGCTATTTTTCATATAAATTCTTAACATTTATGTTTATTTCTACGATAAAAAATAAATAATATTACCAAAACAGATTAAAACATACCATTAGCTATTAAAATTCGAAAATTTGTTTAAATTTCATTTTAATATTATCTATTATTATTATTATTATTATTTTATATATATAAGAGTAATTTTAATTGAAAAAAAGAAATTCAAATTTGTTTATTTTTAGTTGGTAATAATTTGGCTGATTGGTCTTTGCTTGACTTGTGGTTGACTTGGGTTCAATGCGTGAGTTTTGATGACATGGAATGGGAAAACATAAGGTTGGTAGCTAAGACATTAAATTCTCCGACACAAATGTCTCGTCCATAAATATCGTACCAATATTCAACAAATCTTTGTACTTTTTTTAAAAATTATTATAAATAATTTGGATGGAAATTATGACTGTTATTAAAATTTTAATAGTATTTTAAAAATATCTTAAATTTTAATTTTTGAAATGTATAAAAATATATTTAGTATTAGGTTTGAAAAATAAAAAATTTAAAATAACATAAACATCTTTTTACTTTTACAAAAAAAAAAAAAAAAAAATTATTATTATTAATATATGGAAGAAAATCATTTATGCCTCTCTCATAAATTATCTCTAAATTTTTTAAGTTATTTTTTAGAGTTCAAAAATACTTTTGAAATATAAATTAATTAATGATAAGAATATTTTTTATTAAAGAAATTTAAAAGTATTTTTTGAAGAGTGTAAAAGAATTTATGAGTATTTTTGAGGTATTATTAAAAAAAATTTAAGAGTATTAACGAGGATATTTTAAAAATTAGTATATATTTTTAAAATTTTAAAAGCTAAATAATATTTTTAAAACAAAATATTAACCATTTTTTTATCTTAAAAAATGTATTTTTTAAGTAATTTTGGAAGTTTTTTTTTTCATTAAAATATTTAAAAAGAAAAAAAATCCATTTTTCAATCGATAATTTGAGCGAGAAGTGACGCAATTCAGCCTCGGCTTCAGCTTCCTGTCGCCATGGCGCTCTCGCCATTTCTAACCAATCCTTCTTCTTCTTCTTCTTCTTTTCTGCATTCTTCATCGCCATCGTTCTGCTTTTTTCTTCGCCATTCTGAAAGCCCGTCTTCAATCCTCGTCGCACCTCTTCGATTCAAAGTTCGTTGTTCTAACAACGCAATCCAAGTTGAAACCCAACCACCTCGTCGAATCCGAGTGGATTTTGAAGTAAAGAAGAAGCGGAAGCCCAGGCCTAGCTTCCTCGAGCAAATTCGCCATAAGTGGTCGACAAAACCGACTTCCTCGAGAGACAAGTTCCCCTGGCAGCAGCAAGAACAAGATAGAGAGCAGAAGGAGGAGGAAGAGGAAGAACGGATTGGCTATGAAGCTTCTGTTTCAATTCGCGATTCAACGACTAATGTAACTCAAGCGGTTCCTATAAGTCGCCCAATTTCGGCCCCTTGGGCTCACGGTAGCAAATCCAGAAATTCGCAGTTCGATTTCCAACCTAAAACGCCAGAAGGTGAAGTGTTTAATGAGATATCCGAGGATTTTGCTGATGATTCAAGTAATCGCGACGCAAGTACGAAAAGTTTTGACGATGATGCTTCTCCTGGTGGAAAATCGAATGGAGAAATTAGTGAACGTATTGATGAAATTTCAGTGGAATTTTCGGAAGACGAGGAGGAAATTAATCCTGTAGATCTGAACGTTCTGCCGATTACTGAAAAACGTTCACCGTTGAGCAAAAAATTTGTACGTTCTGTGAGTTCTGATAATGATAGCAATGGTCCAGTTGATTTGCCATGGAAGAGAGAGCCGCGTAGGGATTCTGAAGAAGTTGATCAGAGAAGCAGCAAAACATTATTGGCTGAGAAAACGCTTCCTGAGCACGAATTGCGGAGGCTCAGGAACATTTCTTTGAGAATGCTGGAAAGAATTGAAGTGGGGGTCGCAGGTATAACTCAAGAACTGGTGGATACCATTCATGAGAAGTGGAAGGTAGATGAAGTTGTCAAGTTGAAATTTGAAGGGCCTCTTACTGTCAACATGAAGAGGGCACACGAGACATTAGAGGTCAGATTCTAAATCTTAATTTTAGAACTCAAATCATTGTTGTTGTAGTTCTATAGCTTATCGATTCTTGCAGTATATTCAGTATGTTGTTGGCTTAGATTTGAATTACTAAATATGTGGGTGCCTCACATAGGAATGTTTTTTTGTATCAGAATAGAACTGGCGGATTGGTCGTGTGGAGGTCGGGTAGTATGATAGTATTGTATAGGGGAATGACATACCACCTGCCTTGTGTTCAATCTTATGCCAAACAAAACCAAGCTAAAAGTTGTACATTGGATGGTTCAAATAATGTAGAATATGATTCTAACACGGTCAGAACAACGAGTACAATTGTTTCTGGTGCTTCGAAGCATACCAAGACGTTATCGGAAAAGGAACTCTCGGAGTTGAGTGATCTGAACCTTTTGTTAGACGAGATAGGTCCGCGTTTTAAGGATTGGTCAGGCTGTGAGCCTTTGCCTGTTGATGCAGACCTGCTTCCTGGTATAGTTCCGGGATACAAACCTCCAACTAGAATTCTGCCTTATGGGGTAAGACATTGTCTCAAGGACAAGGAGGTGACTGCTTTTCGTAGACTTGCAAGAAAAATGCCTCCACATTTTGCTTTAGGTAAATTCGTCTGATTGTATGCAAGTGCGCACGTATTCTAGGTAATAATGTGCTTGTTAAAATCTTTTATTTGATTCTCACAGGAAGGAATAGACAACTGCAAGGTTTGGCCAATGCTATGGTGAAGCTATGGGGAAAATGTGCAATTGCAAAGATTGCTATAAAACGAGGTGTAGAAAATACACGTAATGAGAGAATGGCAGAAGAACTCAGGGTAAGGCATAATAATCTATGCTTGTTGAATTGAAACATTGAGAAGACTATATGCAAATATCAGTGTACTTGCACATGTTTGTAGCTCAATTCTTTTCTAGAAAGTTTGGAATGTTTATCCAGGTGAGTTATTGCTAAAATCTTGTAATTTTTAGGCGTTTTGGGCATTCTATAATCATGAAGGTTTACTTTGATTAACTGCAGTCATCTGTATTAGATGAATATATAGCATTCAGAGATGCATCATTTATATTTATCTTCATGTTTCTATGTTCTTGATAAGTCAAACTTGTTTTTGTGCAAATTTTGGAAGGCTTGATATCATCTTAGCCTTTTTATTTTGGTTCTACTGGCTCTAAGAACTTGAATTGTGTACTTTGTTTTGTTCGTAGCTTTCTAACTATACTAACATTCATCTGATTCATTTTGAAACCTTGCTACTAAACAGGTCTATGAACTTGGGAACTAAAAAGTTCGAATAGCTACTAAACAGGTTATAATTCATGCATGCAGATATTGACAGGAGGAACGCTACTCTCTAGAAACAAGGAATATATTGTTTTCTATAGGGGCAACGATTACCTGCCACCCACAATCACAGATGCATTGAAAGAAAGGCGGAAGCTAGCAGATCTTCAGCAAGATGTCGAAGAGAAGGCACGACAGATGGCTTCAACTTCAGTTGAGTCGAAAGTGAAAGCTTCAAATGCTCCATTGGTTGCTGGTACACTTGCAGAAACCATTGCAGCAACTTCTCGTTGGGGAAGCCAACAAAGTGGTCAAGATATTGAGACTATGAGAGAAGATTCAGCTTTAGCAAAACTTGAATATCTAATTGAAGATCTCAAGAAGAAACTAGCTCTTGTAAGTAACATAATGCACTAAATGACTTCTAGAGGTGAACGAATTGTGATGCTAAAATTTCTGGCTTGACATGTATCTTTAACTGTGTGTCAATGGTGCTTACAGGCAAAAGGGAAGGTAACAAAAGCTGAGAAGATTATAGCAAAATTGCAGGGGAAGAAAGAACCAGCAGAGCTTCCCACTGATTTGGAGACCATAACCGATGAGGAACGACTTCTATTCCGTAAGATCGGTCTGAGTATGAAACCATATCTGCTCTTAGGTAAAAAAAAAAAAGTTCCTTCCCAGTTCTAAATATCCACTTTTCCATGTGGAAAGATTTTCAAATGTGACCGATCGATCATCCTTTTAGGGAGACGTGGTGTTTACGATGGCACCATTGAGAACATGCACTTGCATTGGAAGTTTAGAGAGTTAGTAAAGATAATTGTGAGAGGAAAAACTCTACAACAAGTCAAACATATAGCAATCTCTCTGGAAGCAGAGAGCGATGGAGTGGTGATTTCTTTGGATAAAACTACTAAAGGCTATGCGGTTATCGTCTATCGTGGGAAAAATTATACCCGTCCTGATGCACTGAGGCCTAAAAACATGTTGACAAGAAGACAGGCGTTGGCTCGATCAATCGAACTACAGAGACGTGAGGTAACGTTTATAAGTTAATACTAAACTTGTGCGTTTTCTAGGACTATCTAAACTGTTGCCTTATATGTACTACTACCTTTTCTTTGCTAGGCACTGAAGCACCATATTTTAGATTTGGAGGAAAAAATTGAGCTGCTGAAGGTTGAGCTGGTACGGCCGTGACTTCTTTAATTTCAGTAATGTGGTGATTTATGTTACTTAGAATGATCACTATGCTCTTTCTCTCTCATTTGTGTTGCTTATGAATTCAGGAAGAACGGAGAAATGGGAAATGGCTCTTGAAAGATTGACATTCTTTTCTGGTTGAAACACTGAAGTGTTGTCATGTGAAGTTGCTTTGAAACCGGGCAACTAGTCATTATGAGAATGGCACTTTTGGTTTGCAGCAGTGAAGTACAAATTTCCTTTCATTTTGGAGCAAACGAACATTATTTCAAGACAAAGGTACGAACACATCCTAACGTTATTAGTAGATCCAGATATTGTTAAGATCATCTTTAGTATTACCAGGAGATAAGCACGTGCGACTGCTTTTGCCACATCAATATCATAATTTCTTTTTCCCTAGCAATTTAGATTAACTTATTTCCCCCTCTAGCTCCTGCCGTATAGATAGAAATAGTTATTCGGTCTGTGATAATATGGAAAAATAAATTTAAAACAGTGCTACGTTTGGTCTAATTGCTTCGGGTTAACATGCATCTGTTTGTTTAAGTTTGCTTAAAAGATTGAATGGGATGAGGGGGTAACGGTCGAAGCCCGCTGCTAGTAGATATTTGTCTTTTTAGGCTTTTCCTTTCAGACTTTCCCTCAAGGTTTTTAAAACGCGTATGCTAGGGAGAAGTTTCCACATCGTTATAAAAAATGTTTCGTTCTCCTCCCCAACCAATATGGGATCTCACAGTCTACCTCTTTCAGGGCTTAAGGTCCTCCCTGGCGCTAGTTCCTCTCTTCCATCGATGTGGAACTCACAATCCACCTCCCGTCGGGGCCAGCGTCTTCATTGACACTCATTCCTCTCTCCAATTGACGTGGGATCTTAAAATCCACCCTCCTTCGAGACTCATCATCCTCGATGCCACTCATTCCTCTCTCTAATTAATGAGATCTCAAAATCTACCCCTATCAAATTAAAACCAAAATAACCAATAAAAATATAGAATTAATTGCTTCAGTTAACATGCAGTTCTTGGTACAGTTTTCTTTAGTTTAACATTAAATAATAATAACTCAACCATTTGTTGATTTGGTTAGTTTCATGCCATCATATGAGCAAGTTGAACTAACAAATGGGATCGGCTTAACCCTTTGGTTATCATTTGTAATACCCTACATATATAATGGTTATTAACCTTGAACAACAAATGGACCTCTGTATTGGATTTATTACTATATTCATGCCTATGATGGGAGGTTCTTTTTTTTTTTTTTTTATTGTTATTACTTCGTCTATATTAGGAGATCAGATTTGGAGCTCAAGAACAAACACCATGGAGTTAAAAGGTGAAGAACATCTGCTTGTTGAAATATGATTCATACTAAAGTTATGCTCATTGCATTTATTTCATAAAAATCTAGTGGCATCATTAAACCCAAATCATCATAGATCAGCCGTCATGTGGGTGTGCAAGATCTTGAGGATGATCTATCACTTCACCTGTCTGCAGAAGATGAGAGGCTGATAAGCTTTTACAAGTCAATGGCTTATCGGTAGAGTTTACCTTATCTGTCTCTTTGTCCTGCTGAAGATTAGTCTTGATGAAGTTTAAAATCACTGTGGCTAACTCTACTTGATGTGATTCTGCTGTGTAGTTGTGATCAGCTCCTTCTAAAATGTGTAATTTATGATTAGAAATGATCTTATCGAACTCTCGAGCGTCGTTGACTGGAATTACTGCATCTTCAGTTCCATGGACTGTCAACACTCTGTACAAACATCATAAGTTCCATCACTAGTTAAGCTATTTTTCTCCTTCAACATGAGAATTATACATTTCTATATGATATAATTGATATGGTGGCAAGGAAAAACAAATATGATTGGCTGATGATCATAAAGACATATATCCTATACATCTCTATAGTGAATTTCAAGTTAAATAATGATCATAAAATTTCTTTACAAAACAAAAGAATGCACGGAAAAATATGGGTATGTATATTTTTAGACAAACCCATTACACTAAGACCCACAGAAACCTCCGAATATTGAGTAGCTGTTGTGAAACTAGGTTTATGAAAGGAGTGGAGTAGCCGAAAATATAGCCATAAAAGCTATTTCAATAGTGGCATAAAAAATGACTATACGAACCCAACAATCATGTAACAAGAATTTTTAGTTGAAACAAACTCAATAGAGTAGAAAAGGCAAGCAAGAATTAAATCAAATACGTTAAAAATTATAAAATTACACCGTTCATTTAGACACAAGCTTAAAAATTTATGGATTAAACTTACCTGCATTCTTTATCGATTTGAAGACACAGTTGGCTCATATTAGTATTTAGACGCTCCACCAAACTTTCTGCTGTCACTCGATAACACTTACCTAAGAAAAAACAAGTTATCTTTTAAATTTACAACAGACAAACATGATATCAATGTTTCAAATTAAAAACATTTGTGGCAGCTAATCAAACTAACAACCATTTTAACACATAAACCTGTTGAATCCTTAACATCAACAAATCCTTCCTTATCCATCCCTTGTTCATAATTTTCTCCCAAGCTTTTCTCGATGCCTGTTGTCAAATCAAAACGTCCAGAAACATTGACAACGATATCGACATCCTTATACTTGGAAGCATAAACCAGCACGACATCAGCTCCTGAAACTCACAAAGTAAAGATCTGTAATATTCAAATGGAAAAAAGAAGAATCTTTGTGAGGGGTCAGGTCAGGGGAGACCTTTGCTATGCCCAATGATTGCACAAACTGAACGATTTGCTTCGTTGAAATATTGTACAATGGCATGCAGTTCATCAGCCTCACCCACGTAGTTACCAAGCTGAAATGAGCCATCACTTTCTCTGATGGTTCAAGTAATCAAAGATTGAGCCAGTTAGGAACCAAACAAGTTCAAAATCTACACAAGTTTCTAACCCATTTCCACAAAGCATACCCATTGCCAGAAAAGTCGAAACGAAAGGAGCTGATTCCTTCTCTATCAAATGCTGCAGCAAGGTTCAACACAACTTCATCATCCTGAAAACAACAAACCCACAAACTCTAATGATTAATGTTTGTCTCCGACTTGGACCCTAAGCCTACTGCCAGGAGATATTGTCCTCTTTGAACTTACACTTTCGAGGTTCCTCTCAAGGTTTTAAAATGTGTCTGCTAGGGAGAGGTTTTCACACCCTTGTAAAGAATGCTTCGTTCCCTCTCTAACTGACGTGGGATCTCCCAATCCACCCCCCTTGGAGGCTCAATGTCCTCGCTGACTATAATAGCCAAGCCCACCGCTAGCATATATTCTCCTCTTTGGGTTTTCCCTTCTGAGTTTCTCCTCAAGGTTTTAAAACGCGTCTGCTAGGAAGAGGTTTCCACACCTTTATAAAGAATGATTCGTTCTCCTCTCCAATTGACATGGGATCGCACAATCCACCCCCTTGGGGGCCCAATGTCCTCGATGATTGTAATAGTCCAAGCTCACCGCTAGCATATATTGTCCTCTTTGGATTTTCCCTTCTATGTTTCCCCTCAAGGTTTTAAAACTCGTCTGCTAGGAAGAGGTTTCCACACCCTTATAAAGAATGCTTCATTCCCCTCTCCAACTGACGTGAGATCTCACAATCCACCCCCTTGGGGCCCAGCATCCTCGCTAACTGTAACAGCCCCAAACCCACCGCCAGTAGATATTGTCCTCTTTAAGCTTCCCCTTATGGGTTTCCCCTCAACGTTTTAAAACGTATGTACTAGGGAGATGTTTCGATCTCACCCTTATAAACAATGTCTCCTTCCACTCTCCAACCGATGTGAGATTTCACACCAAGTAAGGCTATGTTAGGGAGTGATTTAGGATTAAAACCCGACTCCAACCTAAGATTTTCACGTTCAAGAACACCATACAAGTGTTGTGTGAGGAAACGCATGTAGAATGTTTTTAGCTGACAGGATCAAGAAGAAAGCACTTATAACATAAACAATTAATGAGTTTTAACAACATCAAAGGGACAATCGAAACAAAGTATAGAAAAACAATTTTGACATGAATGCACAAGAGAGCCAGACCTTTGATGACATATATCCATGACAGAGGATAACAATGTGAAGTGATCCAGCTTCATGTAGTATTCCCACAAGCTTTCCACCAGACTTCCCGTTTACAATCACTTTCTTTTCTCGAGGCACTGTGGCTTGTTTATCTATGCAATTTCCAAAATTAACGAAACTATAAGTAAAAAATAAGATAAAGGGTTCGTTTCTAATACTTTTCAAGTGCTTAGAAACACTCTTTTTGCCGTTGAAACGCTTTTCAGAACACTTACAAAGTCATTTCAAATAGGTCAAACCCTAAACGTCGAAGAACACCAAAATCCAACAAGAAACTTAGAGTAAAGCCTATCAATGGCATGGGATTCAGGAAAGTAGAGAGGATGGCAGTTTATAAGTACCTGAAGAAGCTTGTGAAGCCATAGCAGTTTCCAGTTTCTTGAAGAACAAAGTTACTAAGTGAAATGGAAGGAATATGGATTCTCCCTTTGCCCTTTGCCTTTCATGAAACGGAGGAATTTTGGATAAATAATAATAAAAAATTTAGAAAAAGAAAAAAAAAGCTAAATTTTTACCTTTTGTTTACTTAGACTAAATATCGAATAATTTTAAAAAGTTTGATTCTGTGTTAAAAACGTGATTTAAAAGAGAAATGTTGTTAAATTAGGTTTGAATTTATTAATATTTAAAATGGAGAAGTACTCCATCGTTTATAGAGTTTTTCAGGGCCTTGTGGGCCTTGAGCCCAATCAATTAAATTTGGGCTTAGTTCATATTTTGACCAAATTAGTGAACCTTCTTCGGGTTCGTGATCAAATCAACTAGTCTACACCTCACATTATTTAATTTATGTCGTTCTTAAAAAACATATTTTTAAATGTACAAACTGATGTTTATTTATTTAAAATATTATATTTTGAACAATTTTCTTTTAATACAAAATACAAGGTTGCCAAATTTTCTATTAAAAAAAAATAATAACAAAATATATATATTGGTAAACCTTCAAGGTTCAAGATGTAGTTATCGACTTAAGCTCTATGTTGAAATATATATTTTTTAATATATATATATTTCATAACATTTAATAATATATAGTAAATACTCACTATATTGGATGTTGAATAATTTCTTCTTCATTAGCTGCCAAATTAGTCTTCTCCAAATTGACCTGCCAAAATTAAGAGTGAGATTGAGTTTTTGACAGATTATTTTTCATTTCTAATTAATATTGAGAAAATTACATTTTTAAATCTAAAGTATTTTTTAAAAAATAATTTCTGCTATATGAAATAAATATAAATGATTTAACCAAACAAAAAATAAATAAAAATGAATACTTACAATTTAAAGTTTATTATAAAATTATTCTTCCATTTCATTATATTGAGCACGATATGCACTTTTTATTTGTCAAATTGAAATTTTAAATTTATTGTACTAAAAACTTGTATATATAAATTTAAGTACTTTACTTTAAAATATGACAATTAGCTTGTTCTAAAATAAAAATTCTGGCAATACTTGCTTCTTACACCCATATTAATTAAGAGAGGGAATTTATAAGATCATTATTTAGGACTAAAATAAAAATTAAAAAATATATATAATTTAAAAAAAAAAAAAAAAAAGGAAAAGAAGAATACTTTATCATAAATTGGTCAAACATAAGGCAAGTGACAAAATTAAATCAAATTAAATTTGAATTCTATTTGGGTGTTAAATTTTTAATAAATATTCATTTTAATATCTACTTTTTTTTCATTAAAAAATGAAGGTATTTAAATATCATGTCATATATGTATTTAAAACTGTCAAAATAAAATAATTATAAAAAAAAATTAAATTATAAGTTTAGGGTGTCTACTAAATTTCTAAATTTTAAAAAAATATCTAATATGTCTTTTTTTTTTTTTTTTACTTTAGTGGGTTTTAGACATAAAAAGAATATAAAATTCATACATAAATTAATTGGACATAAAAGTAAAATAAAGAAAAAAAAATAATGAGTTAATGAAAAGGACAATTGGCTAGAGTATTATTTAAAAACCCTTCAAAGGGAGGACTTTGACCTGCTACTTTTCCGAGCTCGAAATAATCAAATCTATATTCTCTCAGCTCATATCTTAATCTTAGCATTCCATTCTTGAAAAGGTCACTGTTTATATTTCTCTCAATCTTTGCCTTCAACCTCTATTACTTTTCAATCAAAAGCCCCCACATCTCTCCATTAAATCTGTTGGGTCCCCTTCTCTCTCTTTCTCTCTCCCTCTCTCTCTCTCTCCCCTGAACCCTTATTTTAAAGCCACAGGATTCTGGCTTCCCATTTATGGCTACCAAATGCTATACCTCCTCCCAAGCTTCTAATATTATTCTCCTTTTTCACATCAAACCTTCCAGAAAATTTCACACACACAGACTTGGAAATGTCTGGTTTCACGTGTAGAGACCTTATGAAGATGAAGATCAAATGGGATTTTATGCAACAAAGGGAAGAAACCAAGCATGTTCATCAAAGGATCATGCTGGTTTAAATTAGAATTCCCATTCTTCTCTCCCTCTCTCTCTCTCTCTGTCCATTCATCAGTTTTCCATAACATAGCCTCTTATTATGGAGATCGCCTTCCACCTCCATGAAAGCCATCGCCATAGCTTTCTCCAAACTCTAATGCATTCTTTTGGCTGCACTTACATTTGCCTCTGGTCTTATTTACCTCAACCATCCAAGTCTCTGATCTCTCTCTCTCTCCCTCTTCTTTCCCTTTTGTATTTTCTTCTGGGTTTTGGTCATTTTGTGCTGATGGGTTTTGGTTGTTTTATGGACATGACATGCAGCTGCTTGAGGTTTTTGGATGGCTTATGCGTACAGGAGATTGAAGTACAGACATGTTCTTCATCTGCTGGGAGTTTGGCTCAGCTGCTTTTTGAGGAATATAGGCAATTAGAATTCAGTGTTGAAGATGGGTAATTAATTTACATTCTTTTGTTTGGGTTTTTTTTATGTAAAATGGAGCTAGTTTTGTTATATAAGTGGCTTTGTTTTATGCATATATATATATATAGGCTTGTTCCAGGACTAGCACACAAGCACAATGATCCTTGTCTGAAGTTGGAGGATTCCCAGCTTCAAACTTATGCTTCTGCTGATATACAAAGACAATTTTATCTCGTAAGTTCATAACTTCAAGAGATTAATGTTCTGTTTTACTTCAAACATTGTTAAATCTTATGTCTTTTTTTCTGGTTTTGTTTGTTCAGGCAGCAAGGATTCAGGTTGGTCCTTACATCCTATGGGAATGATTTCATTGATTACTTTTAACGTCTAAATTTTCAGCCTAACATTTGGGAGATGATTATTGCAGGCTTCGATCTTTTTGGGGAGCATCAATGGAGAAATTGAGCTCGGTTTCTCTAATGTTTCTCAGGTGAAAAGAAATAAGCCTTTTGAGATCTCTACCATATTCAAAAGCTTAAACTAATGATTATCAGTTCAGGTTGACATGCAGATGATAATAAACTTGTTACCTGGTGATGTTGTTGGTCCCAAGATTCCATTGGAGCTTCCTCAGCCAGCAACAAAACTAAAATTGATCCCGAGCCCGAGTCTGAGCCCGATCCCGAACCCGAACCAGCTTTCATCTTCTACTTCTTCCTTGAGATCACAGTCAATGGACAGCCCTGCAGAGTGCTCTTCTCTTCTGCTTAATGCAATTCAAACCACTCCCCATATTACAGAGCCCTTCACAGCTGACATTCCCATTCTGCCAAGCCAGCATCAGCACTCCATGGACTCCATTTTTGCCCAAGCAAGAAACCTTCAGTTCCCCACGCCAGAGGCCTTAGATGAAGCCATGACAAGAACCATTCTAGCTGTTCTGTCTTCGCCAGCCGGTTCATCTTCCTCCTCTATGCATAAGACTTTAGAGGGGATGATTACTCCAAGCTACCATTTGAATGTAAAAGCCAGTGCATTCAAGAAATATGCTAGAGTACAAACCCCGACTACGGCACGGTTGAATCAAAACTTGAGCACCAGGCAAAGCTTGCTCAAGAGATCATTAGCTTTCATGAGAAACTTGAATCTCATGAGGCTTCGGGAGCGCATGCCAACGGCAAGTCGACCAACGACCTCACAACTACACCATGTGATATCAGAGCGGCGGCGGAGGGAGAAGCTCAATGACAGCTTTCAAGCATTGAAATCTCTACTCCCTCCAGGAACTAAGGTTCAATCTTTTGCCTGAAAATCTTTACAATTACTTAAAAACGCTTAGAAAGTCACTCATCCTCACATTTGTTAGACAATTTCAGTTTGAATAATGGAATTTGTATAATGCAGAAAGACAAAGGATCAGTGCTAACAACTACAAGGGAGTATATGAGTTCTTTGAAAGCTCAAGTGGCTGAGCTTAGTCGAAGGAACCAACAATTGGAAGCACAGCTTTTGCAAAGTGCAAAAGAAGAAGAAACAAGTGTTTTTTCCCAAGAAGAAAGATTCAGAGTTGGAATTTCACAAGTTTCAGAGTCGACATCAGAAGGCCAAATTATAGATTTGCATATAACAACTAGAGGAGAATCTCCATTGACAGACATGGTCATTGGAGTTCTTGAGTTCTTGAAGCCGCTTAACAATGTGAGAGTTGTATCCATGGAAGGCAACACCCAGTTAACACCTTCAAGTTCAACTAACCACCTAACTTTGAGATTAATCATTGAGGTAATTAGACATTAATTAATACTTAGTTTCTGCAACAAAAATATGCAAACTTGATGAAATCCTAAGTGACAGAGGATCAATCAATACATCCACAATAATCCAAACCCCTGCATCACATCAGAATGATTATCCATTCTATCATTAATCAAAAAGCATCAAATAAAAAACATATTCTTCATACTATTATTACAAGTAGGACAACCTCAGAGTCAGAGATGCTTCCTGTAACAATGTTGTCAATTAAGAAAGTGAGTAGGAAAGTGCAATTAACTTATCTAATCATTTTTCATTTAGAAAGATAATATCCATTAGGAAATGGGAAGGAAAGTGGGGTAAAAGAGCAGGTAGATAAATGAAGTCAGATAAAGAGAAAAACGAAAAACTTTGTCTTAAAATTTCTACTTTTCTTACTTTTCTTTTTTCCTTATTGAATTAGGAGAATGAATGGGACGAGTCTGCCTTCCGGGAAGCAGTGGAAAGGGTTGTATCTGACCTGGCTCGGTGATAACAGAACCAATCACTATCTCGAATTGGTCAACTGCTCAGTTGATCTCCACCACTCGTTCCCCCCCCCCCCCCCCCCCCCCCCC